TACCAGTTGTGTTCGAGTAGAGGGCCTGTATTAGGTTAATGTACTTCTTTGGTACTCCTTTCAGTGACAAACACTGCCATAGAACCTCACGATCGACACTCAGATGCCGCCTTAAGGTCGAGAAATACTACTATTGTGGGGCGTCTGAATGTGTCCATGTTCTAGGACCTGACGTAGTGTGAATATCTGGTCTATGAAGCCACGTTCGGGTCGGAAACTAACCTGATTTTCTCTAGTCTGCTCTTCATGAGTTTTAGTTAAGCGTCGAAGTATTGTTGAAGCTAATATTTTAGACACTATATTAGTCAAACTGATTCCTCTGTGATTGTCACAAGAGGACTTTTGTCCTTTCTTATGGACTGGCACAATCAGTGATTGAGATTAGCAGGTGGGATTACATATTTATATTTTAACTACACTTATTTCTGTGATTAAATCACTTAAGCTTCGAACATATAGTTTCAGGTTCAAATCCTACCCTATCTTTGGTTTGAGGAACCAGGTAGTGTTACTCGTTCTCACAAAAATATATATCTCCAAGATGAATGGACAAGCCTGTCATTTGTATGTGTGTTAACAACTAGTAAGTACAAGACGCAATCAGTTCATACTTTTCTATCGAATACTCTCGTACGTTGGGCGTGAATGCGGATCACCAGTTCATCTAATCGTAGTGTAATGCCCATGCTAAAAACTTTAATATGACCATTATAACAGGCCAGAAAAAAAGCCATTTGTTGCAAACATGCACCATTTTGCAAACAAAGTTATAAAAAGAAAACAATTTTGTGGCGTATATTTGATATGAGATAGTTGTAGTGCGTAAGTGAAAAGTCTTGCATCAGCTTTTTCAATTGTTATAAATACAATATAATGGCGTAGCACAGTTTCAGAAATAATCTCTATCTATTGTGAATTAAGCATCAAAATGGTATAATTAACTTTTGTACAATACTTATAACCTTGTGCACAGGTATAAACTTAGTTATACAGTCAATATTTTTAAGTTTAAAGTGAATACATATGATTTGCAACTTCTGAATAGTTTTTGTATTGTCCAAGGCTTTTACACATCTAATGACTTGTTGTCTGTCTGGATAGCAATATTGCATGAATAGATTATTGCAACAGTACTATCATTGTCTGACAGAATTATTAAGCATTTACATAAACTAGATTATCATTTATTTCAGTTCAAACAGTATTCACATTTTCATTTGATAAGTAAAGACACTTATACAGTTTGTCTAAATTAGTTTAAACTACAAATCTAACTACATTATTTCAGATATCTTATAAGCGGTTGAGTTCACAGTGATAATTCTTTTCAGAATTTTTTTATTAATTGAACAGAAGAAGGGAACATTTGATTACATTTCAATTCCAGTGCAACTTTTGATAGTTGTTTCCATATTTAATTAAATATCAGTGTAATTTTTCTGTATTAAGTATGTTGGGTTAGAGATAAGTCTTAACCTTACTAACAGATCAGTGATAACCTCCATAAAATAACAATCAAATTCATCTTGTGTTGATTTGTTAGTAGTCGTAAAATTTGTTCATCTGGTAGTTGTATCAGTGCTAATGCTGGCATGGTATGTGTAATCAGTCTATGTGAAGTAGGAGCTATCGTGTTTTTAGTCTGGTTATAAAAGGCCGAGTTTAAAATGTGTCATCGAGAGTGCTTCTCCTCAATGTTTGTGGAACGTGACCTCTTCAAGCTGAGGATCCTTGGAGGCACTGTGTTCGAGCGTCGTTGTCCAAATGATTTCTGACACCCAGTGACAACACAATATCAATAATACTGAGGTTCAATGTGGTTAGCGTCACTCTCATGAAATTTCGACTCCGGTAGCTTGGACAACATCGCAGCCTCTCTCGGTCCAGCCAGTATTTCTCGATGCTGGAACTGGGTGGAAAACGCGGAGAGGTGACCAGTTTCTGACATGACTGCGTATTATGCATGGAAGGAAGCAGTGTAGAACTACTTCCTGTCGGTCTATTACGACCCCCCCCACACTTACAACCCAATCGCCTTAAACATGGTCAGATTAGAAGCCAGTGGTGATCCGGCTGTAGTTTTCTTCCGCATTCTTCACAAAAGTGAGAGGGACTACCTTATCTGAAATAAGTCTTTCTTGGTCGTATTTCCATTTGAACTGTATGTGCGACTACACACTATTTTTTTTCATTTTACTTTTTGTTCTTGATTGTACTTCCTTTTCCTTCCTTATTTTGCATCGCGCAAACTATTTTCAGTGCCCATTTGTATCAGATTTTATGTTAAACATGTTAGTAAAATCATTATATTGACAATGTGGTTTGCATATTTTATTTTGACATAAAAGAAACACTTATCCTCAGAACTTTATCGGTACCGTATAAACAACTGGATTAATTTCAACTTATGCCGAAGTCAAAAGCATCGGTCACCTTGTTCGGCCTATACATCTAGTTGAAATAATTTATTCATGCATCTGTCAGCTTTTTCCACCAATGTGAGGCTGAAATTATTTGGACGGATACTAAATTTTGGAAGAAAAAGTACTTAGGTAGTTATAATTTGGTCTATCGACTTAAGCGAAACTCAGTTCCAGCGACCATGTGATTTTCTATCTTCTATAATTAACTTTGTTTTTTTGCCATTTTTCCTATCTTCATCCTATTTCGTCGAGTTTACTCACTTGAGTACTATATTGAACAATATCCTCATGATCTCAACAATTAAATTACTATGATATCCACAACGTTTATTGTGACACGAAAATTTATGAATAACTTTTTTTAATCCTAAAAAAGTCTTTGATGACCATACTAAAATCTTCGATTTCAGTTTGCTCTCGATTCGTAAATTCAGGTCGCGTTGGTCGTACATATCAATTTTACGCGTGGGTGGTACACATCTCCCTTTACGTAGCTATTACTACCTGTCTCGTACTCATCTCAGGCAAATTTAAACCAATCATATTTCGTATTATTATCGGTCATATGATTGTCATAGTGACAAATCGGTGATTATTTGGGAAACTGCCATGGGAATGCTGTAACAAAGTGTCGTCATAGACAGGCATGAGCATTGTAAATCAATATAACCCTAGTCTTTATGGCTGTTTCTCTCACTAACTAGTTGCATATGACTAGAAAATATATTATTTATTTTATGCAATCGGCAAAGTACCTTCATAAAATCTGTTGTAACTTGTCCATACATTTGCAACCTAAACTTATACAAATTTATTGTTTTAGCGAATATGTAACTTGAAAACATTATCCATTTGTGCTGATGGTGTCAAACATTCGACATACGGCACAGAAAATATAATCCAGGCTATCCTTCAAACAAAAATTGAAATCGTTCTGAGTACATATCTGGTACTTTATTTATTTAAACACATAAATATTGGTAAAAGGGGCACCAAATACATATATGACACATAAGTCACTTGATTTATGTGAGGGATGTGGTACTGCTCGAACTCCCGGACATAAGCAGGTGGTTTTCTTAGGGGGTCACGCCCGGAGCCTATGACCTAAAGGTTTGATCCACAAGACAGTGAAGCAACGTCAGAAGATGCAGTCCCATGATAATCGGTGACCAACAATTAGTTAATACGCCATTTGTTCCTTCAGGATCCTGGAGCCCATGTGCACCATTGGTTTGGAATCGGGATCTTACAACTCTCCTAGTCGGACCCTCTACATTCACCGACCCGGTTAAAGCGCCGGACATTCGCTTTTCGTTCTTTCGATTTCTTAAACAACAGTAATGCTGTGAGAAGGCAGTGAGTAGGACTTTCCAGGCAGTGGTTGTATGCACGTGTTCATGTTAGAGCATTTCGAGAGGGAGCGCTGACTCTCCCCACTCTCGGCCGTATCAGGGAATTCGGGGGCATATGAATCATACGAATCAGTTATCAGTAACTAAACGTATCTGTTTAAGTTTACAGATAAAACTCATGACTGACCCAATTAAAGGCCTTCTAAACGTTGTGATATACAATATTTGCCTTACCTTTACAATCGCGAATGTTGGTCGAGGTAACCAACACTCATTAGATTCACAATACAAGAGTGACCCTTCTTGATATCCCTTCATTGTTGGTAAGAAGAATGTCTAGATGTCCAAAACAAGTTAAAAGTTAATGACTTTTAAAAATTTGCACATTAGGTAAATGATATTGTTATCAGAAATCTATATTTTCCAGTGAGTGAGAACGGAAATTTGTTTTTAACGACGATTCATTATCTAATACCAATAGCCTTGTCAAAGTAATAGTCTATTATTTTGGCACATTTTTTTGTCTTTTCATTTAAAAACAAGAAACTGTAAGTGGCGAAATAAGTTTTATTGATAGAAATTGATAGTAATTAGTCTGTCTAGTGTCGTTCAAGTAAAAAAGTACATTAATAATTGCTTACAAATATTATGCTTCATGACTAATGCCATAAATAGTTTCACCGGAATAGTTTATTGGGATATCAAGTTTCTTTATCTGAGTGAAAGGTGGTTGCTAAGTTGCTTCTTTTGAAATCCTGTGATCCATCATCTCTTACTGGTTCAGTCTTATAATTTTAGCTTTTCGTATTTAACGCAGTTTTACATAATTTGATAAACACTGTAGACCTACATTTTATATTTGTTCACACTCACTAACAAAACCTATGTGAATTAGTAAGGAAACTCATGTTTTCCGTTAACACAGTTAGATACCTAGAGTTCAGTCGTATCTTCTACATATCTGAATCACAGGAACATAAAGATGGCAAAAATACAAAATGGTCTATAGTTACTACTAAACAACGACATTCGTTTGACCAAGTTGTGAGACCAAGAATCAAATCAGAGGGAGAGCTGTGACAGCTCAAAGTACAAAACTTCACCTGAGATACAAATCTCCATTTTAAAACTCATTCTTTGTTTCGTAGTTTCTCCTGATCATATTTTTATAAGTTCTTATATTTCTTATTGTTCTTTACACCATTTTTTTGGTTCCTTTTAGCATTTGTGGTCTACAGTTTTCTAAGTTTGTGTTATGAATATCTCGGTGGAGAAAGTTGCATTCTGTCGGAAATTCGTGGTCGTGAGTTACCGTAAGTTAATATTTGAGGGTTAAATGAATTTTGTTTTTATCCTGTAGTTATAGTTCAGGTCATTGTGCTTCAATTATTGTTTAGCCGAAAGAGCTGAGTTTTCAGACAACCTGTGAAGTACTTTGCACCAATTATGCGAATTAAGTATCTGCTGTTTAGTTCACTTTAATAGATTAACCGAACATTCTGATTTTTGTATCTGCGTGTGCTTGGTTCCTATCAACTCATGTCTTTTGTTGTTGATTTCTACCTTCATCATTTCACTCTATATCAGAAATCGCAACTTTATAAATATAGATTTTTTTCTAGCAAATATATTTCACGTCACTGTCTGAGTGCTTATTCCAAAGTAGGGGGTCGAGGTTTGAATGTGAAGTCCAGTGGTTGAAAGTTGACTATTTCAATCACTAGGCCACCTTGTCACGTTTCAGTGGGATAAGTTTTGTCCTGAATTCCCTGGTTTAAATGTTATTCAGTTGTGAAGAATTCATAGGAGTGACAGCATTTTATCTTGTGAATAACAAGTGGTGTTTATTCCAATATTAATATTTTTGTGTTTTAGTTAAGAAACAAGAATATACGAAGCTTTATAATCGGTTGTTTCGAAATCCATCACTTAATAGTTTAAAAAAATCAATTTAGAACCTTTTCACTACTACCTAATTCAGTTTAGCCAAGTAGGGAAGTATCGCTAGCTCTAACACAAAACGATTAGTTAAAGACTCATCGAAACCCTAGAACCATGATTTAGTAAATGTAAATATTATTATGTGAGGTACACAACTATGGTTAAAAATTTGTTCAGGGAAGCTTCGATTCTGATGTCGTTTCCGTTGATATTTGATTGGAAACAAAGTAATAATTCTAGAAAGCAAATATTACTTCTGTTTCATCCATTTACTCTTGGTGACGTAGACCCGTCCCTTTTTTCGTCTTATATGGAGAAAAAGTCATGATGTATCACAAGATGGTAATAAAAACAAATATTGGTCACGCTAATAAACTGGTTGTTTATAAATATTGTCTAAAGACATTGATTATCAAACTAACGTGTCACGATGCATTAACTTCCTCATTGAGACACACCTGATAACCATGATCAGTGGTCGAAAACTTTGATGGTGACGTGACTCGAAATCGATTGTGGAGACATAAATGTTCTCGTTCCTTATCTTACGTTAAATATTCAGTTTTAATATTATCCCATACTTTGAATAATCAATTCCATCTGTCCTTTTCAAACTATATTCACCAGTTTTAGTTTGTCTTTCACTAACAGACATTAATGTTACTTTTACTTCTCTGGTATACATCTTGTTACTTTTCTCTAAATGTCTTGATGTGAAGTGTTACAACGTTGGTCAATTCACATTTGTGTCACTTCAGACGACGGTATTTATGTATGAGTAACTTATAAATGCTTTATTTCGCATTCGACTTGTTAAATGCTTGTTAATAGAACGAAACGATAGTCAGTAACATAACACCAGGACAAGCTAAGCTATTCCACTGCGCTCCAGCCCTTCTAACTATGGGGGGAAGACCAGATTCAGCTATTGGAAAAGTATGTATTCTATAAGCAATCGGAAGCACGAATGAACAAGCACACAACTTATGGATATATATACAGTACGGAAATGACCTTGGAAAAAGTCACAAATCAGCGTACTAAAAAGAGGGGACGAACCAATGGTACTTAAGGTCCTTCCAAGTGGGAAATACAAACTGAAAATAAAAGTTTGCGCTCTTGGCGTGAAAATGAGAAATTCAAATTTTTAAAAAATGAAGTTACAAAGATATGACGTTTACCAAGTGATTTCTGGGGACCTAGCATCCAGAACAATTACTGAGTTAGGCATTTCTGTTATTCCAGTCTTTTATCATTCTATTTCATCAAGGAGTGTCTGGAACATATGTTCCTCAAATACTTTCACATTCGACTTCTTAAACTTTCATAATTATCGACTCAATATATGTGAAGTGCGCCTGATGATATATTTGGTTACCATCAGTATCATTGAATTATGAAATATATATCTGTTTGTCTTATTTGTGCGAAACTAGTAACTAAACTTAATTAAGACAACTTTTTCCCTGTCACTAATTCTTTCATGCATTTTTTAGGCGATCATGGGGATTTTGTACTTGTTGCTTTTATAATCAAACGTATACAATTGAGTTTCTGCGATTTTGCAAACAGGTATGGTTTTTAATAAATTTAACTTTTGGATTCATTATAACCTCATACGTCTTTTTGAGAGTGTAAAATAGGGATAGGGGGAAATGAAAGTTGACAGAACAACAGTATTAAATAGAGGGAATATAATAACTTGAATAACGATTTATGATTTTTCTAGCCTTATCACACTCAAACTTTTCATGCACTTGTTTACGTTAAATCTATACGTATACGTTGATCAAGGGAAAACTGAGAAGGCAAGGAATGGTGTGTTGAGTTTCCGCTTGTTTTCTAGCTGATACTTCAGTTTGTGATGAAGACTCTTCAAATTGAAAACACCTAATTAAATAATCACCCAATTATCAATAATGACCGACATTGGAAGGTGGGTTTTTCAAAGGTTAGTAGCCGATCATTCACCTTTCAATAAATAACGTCGTCTGAAGTGACACAAATGTGAATTGACCAACGTTGTAACACTTCACATCAAGACATTTAGAGAAAAGTAACAAGATGTATACCAGAGAAGTAAAAGTAACATTAATGTCTGTTAGTGAAAGACAAACTAAAATTGGTGAATATAGTTTGAAAAGGACAGATGGAATTGATTATTCAAAGTATGGGATAATATTAAAACTGAATATTTAACGTAAAATAAGGAACTAGGAGTTGAACTCAAATTATTCGAGAGAGCGTCGGTTTGACCAATAGTATTTGTCGACTGATACTTGATATTGGAATCATAGCTCAGGAGCATTGTTGCGTAGCGCTGTAATCTACTTGCCGTATAGACAGGGATTCCTTTCTTAGAACCAAAGATTGCAATCAAAGGTTTGTGATCTGTCAGTAGAGTACGACCATAGAGCATTTTATGAAATCTTCTGACAGAAGCTTTGAGTTAAGCATTGATTTGACCCGGTCACTAGATGCTTGACATTCTGTCAAGGTTTATCTTTTGATAGTAATTCATTCAGGGGACCTCTCACTCGATTTATTTCAGGCAAGAATGTGCTGTATTAACTGACAAACCTCAAGAAGGATCTTAATGAAGGAACATCAGTTGGTACAGGCATCCTCTGAATGGCTTCGATGTTAGCAGGGTTTGATCGGCGACCGTTCTTATCTAAAATGAAACTGCAATTCACCAACCAGTTTAAGCACACCACCTGATGCGTTTTTAGCCGTTTTCTTAGATGGATGCATTGGCGGTGTATCCAGCAAGTTATACGTTTCTCTAGACACTAAGGTGATATATGATGCCGTGTCAATTTGAAGACGAGCTGATATGCCGTTTATTTGGATGGTAATATACTTTCTCCGAATGTCATAGTTTGTTTGAAAGGCAGCTACCGGAGTTAGAGATTTAGACTCGGCTGATTTCACATGTCGAGGACGTTTATGTTTCTTCTTGGGCTGAGGCGTACGCTTCGGTGGACGATGACCTTCTTTATGTCCACGTTTGTTACACACCTGACATTTATGCTTCTTCAGTGGACAGATTCATACATAATGCCAATCACCACATAACCAGCATGCAATCGTTGGTTTGTTAAGAGTTGTTATCGGCTTCTGAACTTTTAACCTAGTAATAGCATTGACACTACTGCAGGTTAAATCAGGATTTACCTGTTCAATTAACTCGTCGTGTCTGATGTTTTGTAGCCGCTTATATTCATCTGCCAATGTCCTGAATGAGACGTTTGGGTCTTGATGCAGTCGAGTCAAAAGTCTAGCTCCGATCTCAGCATCTTGTGGTGACTGAAGAGCTTTGATGAATATTAAACATTTAAATTGATCTTCCAGCTTAATTTGAACCGTCCGCACTCTCTGTTGATGACGTCTGATAAAGCAGACTTCGTGTCTCACCAAATTTAGATACTGATACCGAATACTAAACAATGAGGATGATTCACAGAATATCTCTGATAGTTGTGTTACCGTCTCCTCGAAACTGAGCTCTCGAGGTAACTTTGGCAATATATGGTCAGCATAACGTGCATGTTCATCGCTTCCCAACTTACGTATCAACAACCGAGTCTTCCATGCGTCGTCTTGTTTACAGGATTCTATTCTAAATGTATCTTCCCAACGTTTGAACCACGTGAGAAAAGTATTTCCACTTTCGGGATCATAGATAAATTCTGGGATGCTGCTAGCAACTGCATCACAAGACGTACTTGAAATATCATGTGAACTCGGGCAGTGGATATTGATCTGTTGAGTCAGTCTCCAACAACCACATTTGTGCATCAAGCTCTGTTTGCTTTTGTTGTAGTATTCGGTTGAGCTGGTCATCTGATATGGGCATCTTGAATTTGTTTTTCTTCTTCCTTGTCACCACTGTTATAATTCTCTCTTATTGCAGCCCAGCTATTCCTATTGCATAGTATTCTCGGACACCAATTCACTCGACAAGTCACTAAATCAGAACGCGATTGAACACGAAAGAGATTATATTTCAAGCAACAAGGCTAGATGGAAGTAAGAAGTACAATAAGAAAAACGTTAGTATATTTGTACTTTTTACACGAGAATATTCTAGAGTGTTCTCCAAGCATCGACTAGCGCTGAGCAATCGTGCATTGAGCATGCTTTAATCCAATCTATCTCCCTCTAACACCCGGCTGCCAGAACCGAAACAGTTGAAGCAAGGTTCGAACCTGTCACTCACCGGTTGAAAGTTTATTTATTTGATCAGTGTGTCACTTCTCAACTCTTAAACTATGATAAACATTTCTTATTTCTGATGTCTAGTTAAAATGGAAACTACCTATTCTAGAGATCATTCTTCTATGTGGAGTTATGTAAATTGAGAACGGTTTATTTAACAATTTAGGATCTCTAATTAATTCATTTTATGCTATCGATTTTGATAAATTTGTTGAATTCAGAAAACTAGTGTAAGGCTTTGCAATTTAAGAAATCTACTCAACTATATGTTTCTTTAATTCCTAAATTTTGTACTAAAACCACTATAATCTTCTGTTGGTGGTAAATAATTTATAGCATATTCTGAACAAATATGACTTAATTCTTGTTAATCATCATCAATATTCCACTGCTTGAACGAATTGCTTAATAAGCATTTCACCGATGTTGTTTATTTTACGTTGTACAGTATATCATACTTTGTTCCATTTTCACATATTGTAAACTTTTCTGATAAGTATTGAAATGTATTTTTGCGGATAAACAGGACTTTTGGATCCTGAGTTTTTAATTATTCATTTTTATTTATTTCATTAGGCAACTTTACAGTTTTGTGTGATTAAACCGTTGACATCGATTGTAACTATTATTTTACAAGCTATTGGCGTATATAAACATGGAATTTTCAGGTAATTTAATTATTAATAACTGTAACGATTACATGATGTGGGGACAGTTTCCGCATGCACGGTATTAGTGGTTTATTCATTTTGTGGTTGTAGCAATTATCGGCACTAACTTAGTTGTCTTATGGTGATAGAAATTAAACTCAGTTCGACTTCATGCGTTGTAATAAAACCGTGATAAAACCTAATTTCAAATTAGAGATGTAAACAGTTTTAAGGAATCTAGGTTAGGTTTGTCATCTAGGGAGAGATGTAAAGATATAAACGATCTCAAGTCACTGGTCGAAAGTTGAATGCTACCACCGAATAATTATACTGGGACATAAACCATTTAAACTGACCTTGGAAGTTCTCATATTCCTGCAGATCAGATAACGGAACGGGTTGGACATGTCTTTAGAAAGTCTTAACATCGATATCTGTTGTCTATCTGAGACTTGAATTCAAGACTAATGAAGTACCACGGATTCCCTCTCCACCGGTCACTTTGAAAAGCTTGTTTCACGTGCATTTATTCGGGGATTTTGTAGCATCTTCGTTTGGTTTTGCTGGCGTTGGTGTCATACTAAGCGCTAGAGCTGAGGCAGCCCTGATCGATTGGATCCCCGCTAATAGTCGGTTATGTGCTGTTAGATTAGAAAGTTCCATCAAAGTAAGAATAAATCGGTGTGAGAAACGATGTTTTTTCGTTATAGATGAGCATTCGTTGCAATGACGAGTAAAGTCGCTTGCAACTTCGCGAAGCATCCTACTTATGGTGGAGTTTTGTTTTCTGAGCTGGATGGTTTGATCGTGGAGCTTTCATCGTTCTTCTGAACGACATCATCAGCACAAACTTCAGATAAGCACTGGGTATCTTCAGGTTCCTTACAACTCATTGAAGCCCGTCGGCCTATTCCTGCCAACCGCAAGTTTGACGATAAACGTAGATAAATTGTATAAAACGTGCGTAAGGACCGGAAGGCTTTATACTTCCAGCGTGCTGACGAGATGAAAGCAGTAGCTGCACCTGGTGACTACCAGAAGCTCTTTTAACTCATCCGAGTCACTAGCAGTAAGAAATCTGGTGTGAGTAAAGTAATCCCTAAACCCGGAGGCATGTATTTATAACATCTACGAACGCCTTGGAAGGTGGGCAGAATTTTTCAAGGAACAGTTCAGCTGGTCAGCGGCTCCGGCAACATCAGTCGAACTGTATTCTCCTCCATGGTCTGTGACGACTGATCCACCTAACGAAGCGGAAGTTCGCAAAGAACTCCAGCTCTTTGAGTGCTACAAATTAGCGGTCCCAGATGAGTTACCTCCGGCTCTTTTTAAAGATGGTGGTAACTTTATGGTTAAGTAACTGACTGAACTGTTTACAAAGGTCTGGTAATTAGTGTTCCAACGTCATGGGATCAGTCTATAGTTTTTCTTATCTTGAAAAAGGGTTCACGTCGTTCCTGTAACAACTATCGGGGGATAAGTCTACTTTAGATTGCGTCCAAGGTATTAGCTTCCGTCATACTTCGTAGGTTGTTCAAAACCCGAGAAAGATTGACTCGCGAAGAGCAGGCTGGTTTTCGTTCTGATCGAGGATGTATTGATCATATCTTCGCCCTTCTCCAAATGTTGTAACACTGTCATACTTATCAAAGGCCAACAATCGTAGTATTGACATCAGGACTGTTCTCTGGCATGGTCTATTGAAGAAGTGTGTGCCTGGACAGTTTACTAACACGTCGAAGGCCCTATATACAAACACCTCAGGCAGAGTGAGGGCATACAAACACCACCTCGACTGTTTCACTCAAGCTGTGAATTTAGTGGGGGTTGCCCTACCTCACCATTCCTCTTCAACTTTGCCATCGATGACGTTCTGGAAGCAACTCTGGTGGATGTAGGAAATGGTAGTGTAGATCTGTTTCCTGGAGAAGGACTTTTCGACCTTGAGTATGCGGATGATATTGTCTTACTTTGCGATGATACCTAAGCCATCCAATCCGCGCTTAATCAGTTGGCATTTAGTGTCCGTAGGTATGGTATCTGCTTCGCACCCTGATCCTCATGCTAATCTGACACATCTTTGGCACATTCGTTGTGTTGTGGTGTGCTACTTATATTGACATAAATAGTATATGATGTTAGTCGTGAACAAAAGGTCTGGCAGCAGAGAGACAAGAGGATCGAACAGTAAAGAATGGAAGGAGGATGCAATTTGTATGAAAATGCAAGAACAATGAAGTCTGTGTCATTTTGAGACAATTGGTGGACATTTTGCAAATTAAGCATTTACTTTATGATTGTCAGATTTTATTATGTGTTAAATACATTCGGTCGTCCCCACTGGTGTTCTTGTTCACTACAGTGTTAGTCTGGCTGTAAAGGTTGGATTTACAGCATGTTGGTGAGAGCAGTTTTGCTCTATTCTTGTGAGACCTGACCTCTACGAGTTGAGGATGTTAGACGACTCTCTGTGTTTGATCGTCGTCTTCGAAGGATTGCAGTCATCCAGTGGTAACAACATGTTAGTAATGCAGAGGTCCGGCATCGTGTGTTCGGGCACAGTAAAGGTAGTGTCACTATCTTAGAATATCGGCTTTGAGGCTTGGACATGTACGAATTTTTTCTCAGAGAATTTCAAGTCGTTCATTATTTGCCGACTCTGAGACTGGTTGGAGAAAGTGGAGAGGTGGTCAGTGTATGACATGGTGTCGTGGTATGAAAGAAAGTTGTTCATGACTGTTTTTTTTCTGGTCCTCCACGACTCCTTGTTTGGGATTTTAGAGATAGTGCAATAGTGGTTTGAGACGTTATCAGGTATGGCTCAGAATATAAGCCAGTGGCTATTCTGCTGTAAATTTCCATTACTTTATTCATAAAAAGGGATCATAACTTCTTTTATTATACGCACTTTACATCTCTTCACACCCTCATTGTTATTGTGTAGGGCATATGTATTCGATTCTTCCTTGTACCAATGTTAAAGTATTCAAATAAATCTGGGTGTCTGGACTATAAAGTAATATTTATTTCTTATTGCATAGTGATAACTAGTAAGGGCTTAATCTCAATGTTAAGTTTGTGGCACTTGCCAGTTTACGTGGAGCATTGGAAGAACTTGTGTTCACTCAAAAAAATTTCGAAGCTAGAGTAGAAGTTGCTTTTCGTTCCGTGGCTGATGTTTTTTTTTAGGTTTTACCTCCGAGTTCTTTCTGTCAAACAGATAATTCTTGTTCTATTTTAGGAGTTTTTAATCCTAAACATTTGGTAACTCAAATAAAAAATTGTACCACAGTTTTGAACTTTGGTGGAACACCATCATTTTGAGACAGCACGATTTGTAAATTAGTTTCATTTGTTTCCCTTTTGTTGTTATCTATCTATCCTTTCATGATTATTATCTTACTAAACATGGTTCCCATGCGTCAGTTTCATTGGTTTGCCTAAACAGCTAGTAATTATCACTGTATACTAATCCCTTATATACCTTATTTATTTTATCATCCACTGCTATAGCAAATAAATATTTGTAATATCCGTTGTACTACTTAAACTTGGATTAATTTTAATTTGGTTATTTATTCTCTGAAGAAGTGACTTACACTAAGTCACGAAACGTCAGAAAATCTAATTTTCTACTCATTGGGATATTACAAATATATTATTTATTTATAACAATCTACCCAATGCTCAATTTATTCGAAATTATCAAATCAAACCGTGGTTATGATACATACACTGCTATAACGTTCAAGGATCGGAAACTTCCATCTCCCACCATTTTTACAAGTACTACTTTCTGGATCAATTTTGACGACATCCTGAGACTGTTTTAAAATTACGTTTACTCGTTGTTTACTTCATCTGTTACAAATTTCGTGCTGCAATACTAACCTTCCTTTAGGTCTTCTATTGTTTTCAAACTTCATTAAACGTTTATATATTTTCGGAAGAGACATCTGTTTTAAATCGAGATTTTTAATGATAATTTAGGCTCAGTCGTAATCATCATCTAACCTATAAATAATCTCACAAGTTGAAGTCATGAGTCAATTGAAGCTAGACCACCATGGAAAACCTGGAAGCACTGGACGGCCGTCTCGTCCTGGCATGGGGCTCCTCAGCAGTGCGCACCCATAACCCCGCACCTCGCGGGATCCGAACCCGGGACCTACTGGTTCCGCGCGCGAGCACTTAACCATTAGACCACTGAGCCGGCATCCAACGGTGTTAATGTCTAACTTGAACCAATCCACGAAGTTGCGCCACCGTCCACCATTGTCTTCAGTGAGTTCCTATCTCACAACAGACCTGGTTGAACTCTACTGGTAACGACTTCTCACTAGGAGTTAGACATTAACGCCGTTGGATGCTGGCTCAGTGGTTTAATGGTTAAGTGCTCGCGCGCGAAATCAGTAGGTCCTGGGAGCCTTTAAATGCCCTGGTATGGCCGAGACCTGGGTGGGTTCGCCCTCCCTCTCGAAATACTCTCACACGGCCACGCTTATACAGCCTCTGCCAGGGAAGTCCTACTCACTGCCTTCTCGTGGCGGGGGTGTTGTTTACGAAAATGAAAGGACGAAAAGCGAATGTCCGGCGCTTTAACCGGATTCCGAATCAATGGTGCACATGGGCTCCAGTATCCTGCGGGAACAAGTCGTTGGTCACCGGCTTCCATGGGACTGCATCTCCTTACAATGCTCCACTGCCTTATGGGCTAGACCATTAGGTCAAAGGCTCGGAGTGTAGCCCCCTAAGAAAACCACCTGCTTCGGTTTGGGCACCCGGGCAGTATCACAGCCCACACACAATTAATGAACTGAACTGTCTATGATCATGGAAACTAATTCTCTTGCTTCGACGAACTTTCAAATAATTCAAATATTATTATTGCTATTATTATTATTATTATTATTATCTACATCATTATTCACCCTCTTTTATTCCTACTCTGTCTATACTTATTTTTTTCGACTTATACAGCAGCTCGTCTTTGGTGGAAATTCGACTGTATCTAAACG